CAGCCATGGGCACAGCAGGTGCAGTGCTGGTGCGGTGGGTGATGCTCTGCCACATGGGGTGAGGAGCAGAGTGCTGCTGGGTATGCATCGCTCTGGCAGTGAGCTGGAGGAAGGGAGGCTTTCCTGCCTTGTTGCATCCTTTGTAGCTGATGGTCAACTCCGCGTTTTCTGCTGATCATAAGGGCTCATCTCGGGAGCGGTTCTGGTGTGCAGTCCTTCTGACGTGGTTGTGGGCAAAGGCAGTGCTTGGAGCTCCCTGTGTGTTTACCTGGTGCTAGCCGGGTCAGCATGCTCTGCACTGGCGTGGCACTGCTCCCCGGCTGCAGGGCTGTGATGGAGCAAGCAGTGCTGCCTCCGCCTGTTATTGTCTGCCCATGCCTTCCCCCTCCCCTGCCTGCTTTCCCTTGCACCAGGCTGCATTTGTAAAATGAAATAAATATTGACACGGACGGGATGCTATTCAATTTGTCCTGATCACTGGGCTGCGGTGAGTCCTGACAGAGCAGAGTGTAAAACATAAGCTCAGGATGTAATTTCTACTGTCAACATGATGTACAGTACGGCTGTGCCAAATATACACCGACAAACGGTGCAAGCTCTTGCAGGGAGGAGAAGGGGAGCTGTGCTGATATTTGGGGATGATGGAGCAGCAGTAGGAGAGGGGGCACGTTGGGGTGGTGTGAGAGCTTGCCTGTCAGAGCAGGACCTGGGCACGCAGCCATGTGAGTGCATGCATGCTGTGCAGCTGCAGGCTGCTCGGGGTGCTGTGCTGGGACTGAGTGGTTGCAGAAAGTAGCAGCTCCCACTTTGCTGTTTGTGGCAGGAAGGAGTGGCACCTCCAGCTTTGTGGCTGGATGCTCATCAGTGATGCGGGGAAATAAATGCTGTGCTGGTCATGGTCCCTGTGCGTGGGACCTTCTGCGTTGCTGTGGGGTACCTCAAATTCTGCTGTGGTACAGACATGAGCATGGGACAAGGGATGGCACACCTTCCTTACAAGCACAGGCTGAGAGCTGGGGCTGTGCAGCCTGGAGGGAAGAGGGCTGTAGGGAGAGCTGAGGGCAGCCTGTAGGTATCTATAGAGGCTATGAGGGAGGGGACAGACTCTTGAGCAGGGCCTGTGTGATAGGACAAGAGGAAATGGTTTCAAACTGAAAGAGGTAACCTTTGGATATAAGGAAGAAGATTTTTACAATGAGGGCTGTGAGGCAGTGGTACAGGTCCAGAGATGAGATGGATGCCCTGTCCCTGCACGCACTCAGGCTGCAGGGGTGTCCCTGATAACTGCAGAGGTCGGACCAGATGCCCTTTAAGGGTTCTTTCCAACTCAACCCATTCTATAACTCTGTAATGTGGGGCTCTCAGATACTTTGCCCCTGGAAGAGCTCTGTGGTGTGATAGCCAGAAGGAAAAATGTGCACTGACACAATGCTGGCCCTAGGCATGGCCTGGAGCTGTGAGAGAAGAGGAACAGATGAAAATTTTTGGGTAGAACGCAAAAATCTTGTCTGTGGCAATGAACTTTACCAGAGATATGTCTCTGGGTATGTATTCTTAGGTGGCTCTGGGTACCAAGATCATAGGATCACAGAATGGCTTAGGTTGAATAGGACCTTGAAGATCACACAGTTTCAATCCCTGCCGTGAGCTGGTTGCCCCCCACCACATCAGGCTGCCCAGGACCCCATCCAACCTGGCCTTGAATGCTCCAGGGATGGGGCATTCCATCTAGGGCTTCTCTGGGAAGCTGTGCCAGCTCCTCCCTGCCCTAAGGTCTGGAGCTCGAAGTGGGATGAATAGAATCTGGGATCTGAGTGTCTGGGAGGTGCATTGGGACTGGGACGTGCTCTGCAACCACGCACAGCCTGCAGATCGCTCAGCCGAATGGAGCTGAACTTTGTCAGTGTGAGGTAGCCAGTAGCAAACCACGTTAGTTCAGGCATAGATGTAAGACGAGAATTCTGTTAAATGTAAAACACAGCATAATGGCCGGGACTCAGAGCACAGTGTTGTGGTTCCCACAGCAACGGCAGCCCAGCCCATGCGCGCCCAGCAGGACTCTCCCTGCCGTGCCAGAGCTGCTCTATGGAGTGCTCAGATGCAACAGGGCTGAGCAAGTTGCCTTGGGAACTGTGGGCCAGCTCTGCTGGAGCCATGCTGGCCCACTGCAGCATCTCCTACCCTTGCATAATTTGCCTTGCTACAGTACGTGCATTTAGCTTGTTCTTTTACTGCTTTGTGGATGCTGTTTTGGATTTAGTGGCTGAGGAGCTCTTCAGAACTGTTATGTCTGTAGTGCTGTTGCTGCCTAGTAAGGCTTCTGCAGGGCGTTATGAATCCAGTGCAGCCTGGATGGCCTCAGGGCGCAGGGGGAGATGGCTGCAGCTGGGGATGGCCTCTCCCTAATGCTCTGCTTATGTGGCAGTCCTTGAGATCACGTACATACACAGTTAGTTCTGCTTCTAGCAGCGATGTTGATCAGGTACAATCCAATAGTAGGAGGATTCTGAGCACATCTGGAGGCATTACCTGGGGAGTAGCAAGAGCAGAGATGCTGGATTGGGTGTTCTTCCCATGCATATTGCATGTACTGGGTGCTGACCCAAAGCTCTCACTCCAGCACAACTTCAGTCTGCTGACATCTCTCACTGTCGGGGGAACTCGCTCAAAAATAACTACAGATTTCCCAGATATGAGAAATTGGAGAGATGCTGTTTGTGGCAGTGAAGCTCTGTGTCTTGTTATTTGTATCTTCTCTGTATCCACGCAGGAATGATAAAAACAGATTTGTAGGCATCCTGTTACTTGGTGAATCTCTGCTCTTGAAGCCTGCTGCAGGTGAGGCAGCTCCTTCACATCTGTGTTTGGCCCACGAAGGGAGCAGTCGCTTTATGCTGCCAGACTCGTAACAGTGGGAGGGAACGAGTCAGCCCATCACCCATCCACAGATCATCCTACTCCTCTAGATGCAGTCTGCCTTGTAAAATGCTTCGTGGTGTTTGTTTATAGGGATTCCTGCCCTTTACGTTGGCAGGAATAACCTGTCCTCGTGGGGCAACGGCTGCGAGAGGGGGCTTTGCCATCACTGGCGACCTCACGGGGCCACTGTGAATATGTCTGAATAACAAGCAGCCTGGCAGGAATGTTAGCGCTTCTGCACCGTGGCTCCTAACAAAAAAATGCACTGGGGACTCTGTGCTTCTTGGAGCATGAAGTGCACAGGGCTTGCACGTGTGAGAGCTGATATGTGCATGTGTGCGTGGAATGTGGCATGTGTACGTTGAGGGGAACCTGGCACGTGTAGACCCAAATGAGGCACAGACATGGATAGAAAGGAGCGATGGCGTGAGGACTCTTAGCCGTGTGCATGAAATATGAGTGAGCCCTTGTATGCAAATGTGTTTGTATACATTGCCTGACATGCTGTGCACAAACCAGGAGTAGGCAGCTCTGAATGATGCTTGGCATTCCTCGGGTCAGCAGCCCTGTGCTTCTCAGTGTTTGTCTGGACAGGGAACTGCAGAACTGACAGTTCTTGGATGCTGTAGGGAACCGACTTGCATTGTAGGTGCAGTCACAGGAGGGAAATGGCAAGGGCAAGGAAGGGCTATGGGGATATTTGCTGGCTGCCCCTTCTCTGTGCTGCTGGGGCTGTTTGGTGTCCTGCAGGGGGCTGTGCAGGGCATGGTCCAGGCAGCTGCTCAATGCCCATCGCTGGGAAGCAGATAGCTATACCTGGTGCCTCACACGTGTGATCCAGGACTGACCCCCCCTTTCTGTCCATCTACTTTCCCTCTGCTATTCAGAGTAACAGATGGCAAGAGATTAACTCCTCCAACCAGTGAAGATGAGCATGTTTTGTGCCTGGTGGGTGTTGTGGAGCTCTGGTGGAAGCTCAGGGTGTTGGTGGAGGGAGGTATGGGTGCTGCATGCCTATCCCTCATCCTTATTGAATTCCCTCTCACCGAATGCTCTCTTGTTTTCATCCTCACCACCTTATGAGTGGCTTGAAGCTTACTCCAGAGGTCTTTCTATTAAAAAAAAAAAAAAAAAAAGTTTGCTTTAAAGTCATCCAGGTGATGAGCCCTTGAACAGCTGCTTTTCTCCAAGCTCATTGGCAGAGAAGTGAGGCACTGGGAACACGGGACTGGTGGCAGGGGCTGGAGAGCCAGCAGCTCCTGCTGACAGAGCTCTGCCAGCCTCCCTCCTGCAGGACCAGTGTGGCCGGGCACTGCAGTGGGGCACCCCAAGGCAGGGTGGGGGGGGAGGTACCGACTGAGGGCGCAGGGGCAACGGGAAGCATGGAGCCCCACTCTTGCATCAGCACTGACACTTGGCCTTTTCCAGGCTCCCAGGAATGCTGCTGGCTGCCCTACACCTCTCTGTGTGAGCCAGCAGAGGATGGAAGCGACTGGCATCAGCTGGGCCAAGGATCCTTCGTCAGGTGCTGGGATATCACCCCCCTGAAGACGGGATTTACAAATGGGCTCATGAGCAGAGCGTGCAACACGGGCCCCTGTGCTGCTGGACCCCTCGTGCAGTGCTGTAGGGCCACCGTGGGACAAACAGAGGCTGCCTGCAGCACCTGGTCCACTTAACTCATCTGTGAACCTTTCCATGGAGAAGCTGTGCTGTGCTCCCTGCGGATGCTGGCCTGGGGCAGCGGTGTTCTGTGTGTGGCCGTGGAGCTGTCTGCCTGTGGGGTGGGCACTGAGCTGTGTGTGACCTCACTCCCAGGCACCGCTGCTGCAGCTGATCCTGGAGCCCTGCAACCCTGTCCCCAAGAGCAAATGCCAGCTGCCAGACTCTTCTCAGGAGATGCAGAAGCAGCCTGCAAGGCACCAGCGCTGACTGCTCTTGAATCAGCAGCAGGAGGCGGCCCAGAACTCCTGTAGTTGCAGACAAGACTGCATCCAGCTGGAACAGGAGGTGTCCAGCTGCAGGATGTGGCATGCTGCAGGGATGGGGACACTGCAGTGACCAGTGAATCCCACGCTGCCAATGTTGACTTTACTCCTACTCTCCCCATAAGGATGCCAATTGCCTGTCCAAAATCTGCAGCTCATGCAGCCTCCTAGAGTGCGATGGCAAAGGGTCTGCAGGGCTGCTGCTGGACCATGCTGCTGCTGCTCTGTGCCATCCAGGAGCTGGGGGCCTGGGCCGTGCACACTGCGGCAGAGGGTCCTGACCTGGGGCAGCCGGGGGATCCCACACTGCTGGCCAGCGGGCGAGTGAAGCGTGGCTGGGTCTGGAACCAGTTCTTTGTGGTGGAGGAGTACACAGGCACAGAGCCACTGTACGTGGGGAAGGTAAGGCAACCCTGCATCTCCCTGGGGCTGGCCGAGCCTGTGCAGAACGGGGCGTGCTGCAGCATGGCTGAGCCTGGTGAGGTGAAGGGACACTGTTAGAGCAGCAGCCAGGGGGTGGACTGGGATAGCATGAGCCTGGCTCTTTCCTGGGTGGGTTTAATGTTCTCCCATGGACCTGGGGAAGGAACACACCTAAATCCGTATCTGTCATCTCCCTCTTTTGTGCGAAGTTCCCACGAGTGTGAGGAGGGATGCAGTGCTGGGTGTCATGAAGGCAGCAGGGAAAGCTCAGCCTCATCTCTGGGAGGGCAGGCCAGTGGGGTGAGCACCTGCTTACTCTACTCTGCCTTATCTGCATGCTGCAGTGCTGATGGAGCACCCAGGGCCTTCCTGCCCCCAGAGGCTGCTGCATACAGCATAGCCTTGACCTGCTCAGGATGGTCAATTCCCTGTCCTGTAGCTCTTTCAGCATGGGGATGGTGTGCTGGGTGCATTTCCTTGTCCCTCCCTGAGTCTCCCTGCTGGCTCTGGAAGGACTGTGCTGTTGGACCTGTGAGCTGCAGCTGTTTCCATGCTAATCATCTGAGCAGACCGTAGCTGGCAAAGTGGGTGCCCTGCTGTGGTCATGGCGTGGAAATCCTGTGGCCAGGGTGAGGTTGGTGTGGGGCTGAGGCATCTGAGGCTGACCTGCACAGTGCGGTGCAGAAAGAGCTCAGTGCAGGCATGCAGGGGCTCCGAGGGCCAGCACTGGGTGCAGAGCTCACCAGAGGTGTGCCTGGCATGCAGGTGCTGTGCGGCACTGTCTGGGATCTGCACTGTGCCACCTCACTGACCCCAGTGCCTGAACTGCTGGGATGGGCACACGCAGTGGCCCTGGCTTCCTGAGGCTGCCTCCATTGGGGTTGCTGTGCTTTGTCCTTCTCTGATAGCTCTGCTGTAGGGTGTCCTGTGGCTCCCAGGTGCTGGAAGGATGTCATCTGTGTACTAATGAAAGAGCAGCGCTGGCTGCTGGGCCCAGCCCAGGGGAGAGCTGCTCCTATGGGGGCACAGACTCTCCCCGAAAGGAAAACACCCAAGCAAGAGCCCATGCAGCAGGGCTGTGTGATGGCTTCGGCTGTCTGGTTATGAGTCTGGAGGAGGCTCGAAAATGGGCTTTTTGGCTGGAGGCCAGGTGGAATTTCAGCCGTGATTTGTGTCCATTTCAGCAGACACTCGAAAGCCGCACTCCTCCGCCGCGACGCTCGATGCGGTTACAGTTAATTCACAGCTCCCCTGGGAGGTGACTCGAAGCATCAGGCCCTGTCAAACTCCAGAGGTAGCCTAGCAACAGCCTCATCTCCAAAATGAACCCGGGAACCTAAAACTAACCCATTTTACAGCCCCTTTCACATCATTCAATGCATCACCCACCCTGCTTAGAACAAGCAGCCGAGCTGTGCTGAAAACAATTCCCTTTTGGTGATGCTCCCTGGGGCTGAAGGCAGCCAGAACCCACGGATGGGAGACACTGATGCCAGGTGGGGAGGCAGTGCTGGGAGCTCACAGTGCCCATGGGATGCGCCCTCCATGGATGCTCCTCGCACACCTCGTGTGCTCTTCCAAAGGCTGATACCGTTTCCCTGAAATCTGGGTTCTCCAGCTAATCCTTCCTCTGAACTGTAATTTCCCCTGAGGCCGCTGTCAGTTTGATGTGGATTTCTTTGTTTTATTTTTTTTTTTTAAATAGAATTATGGGTCAGCACTAGTTACAAACTTCTGCATGTGGACAGATCTATTTTAGATAGAGGGGAGGATTAAAGGGGAAAAAGAGCAGATTTAATTAAGTTGCTAATATTTAAAGAAAATTGATGAACTCGGGCTTTATGAGTTGGAGCAAACAAAGTGTGCCTTTATTACGGGTTAGTTTTTATTTGATTTTCTTTCTTTTCCAGCCCCAGAGTCATTTTTTATTTGTGTATCTGTGCTTTCTGTTTAATCGCTTTTAATAAGGAATGTGCACCTCTGTTCACATTTAATTTCGATTTAATTATTAGCGAGTAATTAATGGCTCTGTGAAATTCCTGGGTTCGACTCTTTGGGACGAGGGAACTGTTTTCCCATAGAACAAATGGGTGCAATTGGACCTGTGGGTGTGCTGGCGGCTGTGGTGCTGCTGTCCCTGCAGTGAGCACAGGGGGGTCCCCCTTGGAGGGGTCCCATGGCACACAGCACAGCCCACAGCTCCCAGGAAAGGTGCAGCAATGCTGTGGGAGCGCCCTGGGATCCGCTCTGCAGCATTCCCCCTGATGTCTGCAGTCAGTTTTCCAGCCCTCCCCCATTAGTTGTTGTTTAGCCAAGCAGCACAGATTTAGGTCTTTTAATCTTCCCTTGTAAATCAATCTGTACGGCCCCTTGAGCCCAAGCTCCATTTTTCTTCCTTGCTCTCCAGTTTGCGGGGATGCTGGTGTCTGCTCCGAGCAGTCGGCGGTGAGCAAATATGTAAAGAGGATGTGCTGGGAGCTCAGCATGGTGCTGGGTGGTTGATCTCTGCCCTAATTATTAATCACCAGCCTGGCGTTCAGCAGGAAAGCGCAGCTTTCTGCTACCTGTGCTGAGCAGAACAGGTGCAACTTTGTCAGAAAAGCTCAGTTGCTGACGGGGTAGTCATGAACTTCAGGGATATTAATAACATGGTGGGGCTGGTGAGCGCCCCCCAGTCGGAGGGGTGTGTGGGTTTCTAGGGCAGGATGCTCTGCACACCATCCCCTACGGTGCTCTGATCCCCGTGGGACTGTGATTGGATGGCGTGGGGCTCCCACTGGTGCTGTGGGACCCCCATTGGCACTGGAAGACCCCTGTTGATGCTGTGGGACCTCCATTGGCACTGGAAGACCCTTATTGATGCTGTGGGACCTCCATTGGCACTGGAAGACCCCTATTGGTACTGTGGGTCCCCTATTGGTATTGTCGAACCCCCACTGGCACTGAACGACCCCTATTGGCACTGTGGGACCCCCAGTGGCACTGCAGAGCTCACAGCCATGCTCTAAGTGAAAGTCTGAGTGCTGGGGGGACCTGGGAAGCTGCTTCAGATGGGAAGTAATATGGTAATGTATGAGATGCATTGATTTGTCCGAAGTGCAGGCACCTCACTCATGAAATAAATATATAAACTGTATCTAACAAGACAAATATAATGAAGGCATCATATAAAAAAAGGGGGAAAGAAAAGAAAAAAGAGGCAGCTCCGGTATAAATTCTTGCTGGTAGAGCTGTGTGTCTGAAAGGTGGATTATAGAACTGCAGTTTGGAAGATTGAATGGCCCATAAACATTTTCATATTTCATTAGCCGATTAATGGACAGCTTTTTTTCTTCTTCTTTTTTTTTCCTTTTTTTTGAGTTGGTGGGAGAACTTTGCTGATTCTAAGCAGAAATTGCAGGGAGCAAATGAAGACAGCTGATGAAACCTTGCGGGTCCCTGTCCTGTTATGGATTGTCCCAATTAACGCCCGTTCTGCTCTCTGTCAAGATGCATTCTGCCTGTCCAGTTACTGTTAATAGATTTCTCATAAGTGGCTAGATTGTAAAAACCTCATAACTCAGCTTAATGCCACCAATAAAATTATCTCTGGACGTCTGGCCTGGATTCCAGTCAGCTCCCGGTCCAGGAGGAGCTTCTGTTTACCCTTTCTTTTCCTAATTTCAAACGTTGTCTTAATTAGAAAATGAAACGGAGACTGGCTACAAAAAGCACCTTCCCCAGGGCCTGTTTTTCATTCAGCACAGCCCGTCTCGCCTCATTTCACTGCAGGCTTTGCCCAGGAGCGATGTCTGGCAGCATCAGCTCTGCCATGGGCTCCATAACGCCAACCTGAGCTGCATTCCTACCCCGTTTGCTGCACAGCCTGGGAGAAACGGCCCCGCGTTGGATCTTGAGTCCTTGCAATGGGGTAACCTCTTTTTAGGGGGCTGTTGGTGAGTTGTCCTTCCCATACATCTCCTGGCCTCACTGTGGTGAGATCCGCAGCTTGGTTTGTCGTGTGAGTGGGTACTGGCAGCGTTTGGGAGCTGCCAAGCTCAGAGTGGCAAAGGCAGAACTGATGGTTCTGTGTGTCGTGCCCTCCTATGTGCAGCATCCCCTGCTGCTCCTACCTCTGCTCTTTCCTGGCAGATCCATTCGGACTCGGATGAGGGGGACGGCTCCATCAAGTACACCATCTCCGGGGAGGGCGCGGGGACCATCTTCCTCATCGACGAGATCACAGGTGACATCCACGCCACCGAACGCCTGGACCGGGAGCAGAAAACCTTCTACACACTGCGGGCTCAGGCCCGGGACAGGCAGACTGACCAGCTGCTGGAACCCGAGTCTGAGTTCATCATCAAAGTGCAGGACATCAACGACAGCGAGCCACGCTTCCTGGAGGGGCCCTACATCGGCAGCGTGGCTGAGCTGTCCCCCATTGGTAGGTGTCCTGGTGGGTGAGAAGCTTCCATCTCTGCCACTAAACCTTGAGCCTGCCGTACCCCACAAACCAGGCTATAAATCATAGGGATTCCCACTGAGAGCGGAGCTGAGGAGCCGAGAGGGATAAATAAATAAGGTAGCTTAAGGAAAAACAAGTGAATAAATCCTCTGAGCTGATTGCCAGCCCGTGGCTGTGTGCTCAGCCCCAGCCCTAAGCTGTGCCCTGGGGATGGGTCAGGGAGGTGCCAGATGCCCGCTGTGCCTCAGCCCTGGCTTTGTTCAGCTCTCAGCTCCCACGTGCTGAGGGTAGGGGTAGGAATGAGCCCTTATGTGCCAAGAAGCCTGTGGCTACCTGTGCTCTGGATTAACCCAAGCACTGTCTGTCCCCCTGTGTCTCAGTGCCTGCTCTCGCTGTCCCCTGCTGCCCTCAAAGCCCTGTGGCTGCCTCTCCATCCCCTTCAGCATCCCTGGGCAGTGTTGCTGCACCGTCTCGCCCACTTTCTGGCTTCCCTGCGAGAGGCCCAGTATTGCTGAGGTCATGCCTGTAATAGAAGTGGTTTCCTCCATGCTACCGCTGGCCTGCCCCCCCTTCAACACACCACTGTCAGCCTGGTGCAGTGCTGAGCTGCAGGTGGGATGTGTGCTATAAGATCCATTGCCAGGGATGGCAGCGGGCACTGAGCTGCACTCCCGAGTGCCGGCAGAAACACGGAGAGAGGATGCAGCACTGCTTGAGCTGGGGGTGGCTGCAGATGTGCAGGAGCTGCTGCCTGAGTTCCTGTTGGTGGATGGGGAGCAGATTCTCCCAAAGCACCCCAGGCTCTCCATCCTCTTCCATTTACCTGCACTAATCCTCTCCTGCGTCAGATGGTGACCCCTTGAACTGCAGCCACATGCTCCTGGAGCAATGAAAGGCAGCATGTGGACAGCAGAGCAGGAGGCATCCCATTCCCAAGGGGAAGAAATAAATTAATCTATTTTGCTTGAACTACTTTTAAAAAGCAAAGAATCTTCAACTCTGAGTATTAGACAAGGATCCCAATTCTTTAAAAAACGTTAACAATTATGGAGCTGCCTGATCACAGACTGATGTGAACAAGACATATCAAAGGAGACAGTTTCTATGCGAAATTGGAGATCAGAGCGAGAAAGAATCACGGTTTCACAACATGAAAGGAGGCGATTCCTGCAAATTAAAATACTCAGAAGTTAAAAGTAAAGAGAAGTGCTGTGAACGGCGTGGGATGTGCTTCCAAGCTGCATGCTCAGAGCGGGGGGAGCTGGAGCTGAGAGTTTACTGGGCTGAAGTCTGTCTGCCTGTGGCAGCCTCCAAGCCCTCTGCAGCCTGGCCAACCTGTGAGGTGGAGGGGCTCCTCCACAGCAGCCCAGCTAACAAGCAGAGATTGCTTCTCACAGCACCTTCACATGGTGTTGCTGCAAACTCCTCTGCTGGGCATGGAGCTTCAGAGAACACGCCTTACTGCCATTTCGGGTGTGGATGAAGGCAACCCCCCTGTAGTGGCAAAGCAGGGAAGGCTGGAAGGCTGGGCAGCTGGAATTGGTTGTGACATCAAGGTCAAAGGCTGGGGACCTGCTGGCAGTGCTTGTCCATTGCTCCATTTTCCTGGATGACCAATGTCCCTGATTCAGCTGTGCTCTTCTGGGATGGGTCACTCGGGGAGCAGGGCTGCTCTCCATCTCAGGTGTGGTTTGCAGGAAGCTGCTCTTCATTCCCCATCTCTGCCACTCTGCAACCTGAGCTGAGAAGTGAAGGGTGACCCCTTCTTGCTCTCCCGGACCCCCGTAGGGCTCATGCTGAAGGCTGGCCACGTGGGTGGCTTTGCTCTCTCCGGTGGCAGCAATCAGCTGCAGCTCCCTGCCAGAAGCACAGTTCCAGCTCCCGGAGGTGGGTCCCTTCCTGGAGCATAAAGAGAAGTAAAACAAATACGGTCAGATCCGCTCTGTGACAGCAGGAACAGATCAAAAGACATTATTTGCATAATGAAGGAGTACTAATTGGGAGGGAAAGTCATTTGACTTCCCGGTGCCTAAGAGGGAATAACAAATAATGAGGGAATTGCACAAACTCCCGCACAGGGGCTGGGAGTGCTCCACATTGGCCCCGTGCTCTGTTCCTGCACAGAGCTCAGCCCTGAGGCTACAGCCCTTGCTGGGTGCCCACCCTGCTGCCCATCACCCCCAAAGGGCTGAGCTGAGCCAAGTCAGTCTTGAAGGAGAAGACCCAGAGCTGCAGAGAAGGTAGGATGGGCCCAACCGACTGCTGGGGAACGGCAGGAGTTTCACCTTGTAACAGGAGATGCTAAAATTAGCTGTGTTCTCCCTCAGCTCCCTGGGGTCTGCTTAACAGCTGTCTGCCGCACACAGGCATGAGCCCAAATCCACACTGCCTCCTGCAAAACATCTCTGCTGCACAGAGCAGGTTGCATAGCCCAGAGCTGGCTTTTGGGCTGGGGAGCACGCAGAGCGACTGGTAGCTGGCATGATGGTAAATGTGGATCTTTCTGTCAGAACAGCTCTTCTCCCTCGGTGCATTTTGCTTTCATTTCTCTGTGTAGCACCAAGATTAGAGATGATTTGGCTGTGCAGACAGGAACTCAGGGTCAAACTCTGGCTCCATCGCAAAGCTGGCTGAATGCAAAACTGATTACTGTGAAGAGAAATTGTTTAATCTCCACACTAGAAGCAGAGGAAAAGACTTTGTTTAACGTGCAGCCAGAACACTTGCAGGCAGTCTGATGGGTTTTTCTTAATAGAAAATGCTCAAAATGCTCTTGTGTGCATCTGGCAGCAGCTGGGGCAGCAAGTGGGCATGTGCTGAGGATTGCACTGCCCTGGGAGCTGTGAATGGTATTGTTGGTACAGTCGGGTTTTCCCCTTCTGTAGCCTCCAGGTCACTCAGATGGAACTGCTGCCCTCTGGCATCCATCCAGGGTACACGGCTCTGCAGGATGAGGTGCTTCTCATGGGGTCAGGAAACTGATATCATATGCTGTGCTGTGCCTGGAGAGCAGGGCTGGGAGCAGCATCCATGGGTCTGGCCCCTCAGGAGGCTGCTGCTGGAGGTGGACCCTCATAGATCTTCTCCTTTCTCAGGGCTGTCTGTAGGTGGGATTAACAGCTTCTTCCTTATTTCTGTCGCCTTTGAGGACCTCAGCTCTTTTGTTCCTGAGGCCGTTCTCATGTCCTGGGTCCTGCTTCAGTCAAATTGAACATGATGTCAAATTAAAGCCATCTCAGGGACAGCTGGAGTGAAGCACCCAGTTTAGTGAGGCAGTGTTGGAAATCGATAACTTAATTGCAGACATTTGATGGACTTTTATCCAATTTATGGTCCTTCTGCCCTGCTACGTGTGGAGCATGACGACACGGTGCAGTGCCTGGCTCTGGACAGGCAATAGCTCTTCCTCCCCTGCAGCTGCCCTAAAATGTGAGATGACTGCTGGGAGCAAAGCTACCTGCTGATGTGGAGAGCATGCCCTGCTCTGAGGTGGCCCACAGTCCCATCCTCCTGTCACTCCGTGGGACAAAAGGGGCCGTATTTCTGGATGTCCTCTGGACACCTCCTAAGAGATCCACGTCTCTCTCCTGTTTTTGTTCTCATCCCTGCTGCAGGCACCTCTGTGATGCAGGTGATGGCCTCCGATGCCGACGACCCCACATACGGGAGCAGCGCCCGCATTGTCTACAGCGTGCTGGAGGGCGAGCAGCACTTCACCGTGGACAGCAAAACGGGTGAGCAGCACCCAGGGAGCTGCAGGGCACCTCATCCTGGGGGTGCAACGCGTGTCTGCGCTGTGAGCAGCAGGCGGAGCGTTGGGATGGGCAGCAGGGCTGGGGGGAAACTGCAGCCGCCAGACCTGCACCCCTCACCTGCACCAACTGCAGAGTGAGCGCAGCTGTGGGCACGTAAAATCTGGGGAAGGTTGAAGTGCTACCAGAGGGGCTTTACCAAAGGCCACGTTGTTATCGCCAGGGCTTTGATTAAAGGTAACACTTCAAATTAAGGAGCGGTTTATAAATGCTCTATTAATATTTAATGAAAGAACAGTGGAAGCTGCTCCATTCCTTAATAACGTATAATAGAGCCCGTTGTAAAATGCATCTCTAATAAATCCCTAGCAGATGATGCTCTGACATACTGGTTAGAGTAGACCATAACCGGGAGATGTTGGGGTATATATTCTCCTTGCCTCCCAGGAGTGTGACTCTCATTACCCTTAATGGGAACCTTGTAAGCTTTCTAAGGAGGGAAGACACTCAAATGCTAATAAGAGATATTTAAGGTACAAAGCATGCAGTAAAGTACCTTCAGTTTAATGAAAAATTGTCGAAAGACAAGAGCACCGAGCAGCAGCAGCTTTGGTTGGAAAGCTGGGCTGCAAAGTGCCCCCACCCTATTGCTGAACCAAAGGGAACCTTGGGGAGATCTGCCCCTGGCTGCCTTCTCTCCCACATTTGCTTGGTTTTCCTTTTATTTGCGAGGAGACAACGAGCTAAATACTGAAAACTCAAGTGTGTGTGGGATCCTGCTAGTCTGAGACAGCGTTGTGTGAGTGGAGGCTGAGAACGGGGCTGCTGGAATGGAGAGGGACCACTGGGAGCAAAATGCACAAGCCGGGACGTGCAGAGGCTCAGCTCCCTGCAACAACATTAATGCTGCCGTATTAAGGCATAAAGTAAAATGCGCCCTGTGGGACTGTGGTGAGAATTAATGTCACTCCAGGAGACCAAGCTTCTGGATTCCTTGACTTTTTGTGTCTTAATTCTCAAGCTGGCTGTTCATACACTGGCTGTTTCATACACCGCCAGGGTTGATTTACGGTTCTGCTTGCGATTCATAAGAGCAAAACTGCTGACAGTCTGCAGCAGCCATCCTCAGCTCCAGGCAGTGCAGCTGTATGCCCCTCTGCCAGCAGTGCCGTGTGTGGCTGTGCTGCTGGAGGAGGCAGGGACAGGGCTGGCCGTGCTGAGCAGGCTGTGATCTCTGTGTCTGCCTTTGGCACCAGTCAGGAGCTGGAGCATCCCGCTGCTGAACCCCATCCTCCTCCCCCTCCAAACCTGGAAAGGTTTTATTGTTCCAATGGGAGTCCTGCCCTGCCCGCTATGGGTGGCCGGTCTTCTTCCCTGAGCATAAGATTTAATTATCCGTAGCAGAAGCATCACTCTTCAAAGCCACCATTGTTATTAATGGCCATAAAAAGAACCATAAAAACCTGGAATGTTACATTTCTCATAATATACGATAATGAAGAGCAATTTGTTTTCCCTGTTTGGTTTCGACCTCCCCCTCCACTTTTCCTTGCAGGTCCACACACTCCTATGCTCCCTCATGCCCTGCCTAAGCCTATGGTGCAGGCACTGCTGCCTGGACAGCAATGGGTGATCCAGGGGACAGAGGGCAACCAGCCCACAGCAGGGGGTTGGAGCTGGGTCTTTCTATGACTCCTTCCAGCTCCAGTTCTCCTTTTCTTTGTCTTTGCCTGTACTTCATACTGAGGTTGTTGTGTGTATGGGTGTGATTTGCACACTTGGATGCAGGATGCACACTGTGTGTACGTTGCTCAGTTTGTCTCTCATTCCTGGCTGTTACCAGCGTTAGCATTCAGCAGGTGTGTTGGATTTGACAGAGCTTTCAAAGTCAGGTCCTAACCTGCCAGTATACCAGCAGAGCATGCTATGCTCAGTCCTACAGCTCAGTAAGGCCTGAAATCCCGTGTCTTGTCTTGGAAGGCTTTTTGGAGGGAGATGAGCAGGACCCTGCAGGCATCTGTTCTATTTAGGCTTTGTGCTGCCTTCCCTATTCACTCTCAGTGTGCCAGTAGGGTGCAGCTGATCTTCACGTGCTCTTTGTCACTCAGAGCTGCATTGCACTGCTCTGTGGCAGCAGCCACAGGGTGCCTCCTTCCTCTTGGAGGAGGCTGCAGTCAGTGCACACACGGTGCTTTGCTGCTGCTGTTGGGACGTGGTCACTTCTGCTGTTACACTGGGGAGGCTGCCTCTCAGCATGCTGCAGTCTTTGCGGGGATATTGGCTGTCACAGAATGATGCTCTGGGTGACATCCCCAGCCTCGTTGTGTTTGTTGCTTCCCTAAAAGCTCAGCTTAGGAGATTGTATGTGCATCTTGTTCTTTACTGGAAATAAGAAAGCCGTTCTTAAAATCTGTCATTCTGCTGCATGCAGAGAAAAAACAGAAGGACTCTGAAGGCTAATTGGAATGCAGTCTGGCATTTCTTATTACTTAAAACAACTCCTGAGTTAGAGCCTGTCTCCTGATTTGGAGGCTCAGCCAGCAAGGGCTCAGAGGTCCTCGAGCCAGGGAGAGCAGGACGAGAAATACTGTCCTGCTGGGAGGAAGTTTGTTTTATTGCATGTAGTCATGAGTTGTTTCATCCTTAGCTGCCAGCACTGTTGCTTGGAGACCTCTGGAGACCATAGGCTCAGTCCTGGGGTAGTGCTGGTGGGGTGGGAGCTGAGCTGCTGGGAGCGTGGAGAGCTGTTCTGATGAGCTGTCACTGTGATGCAGTGGTGGGAGGCAGAATGTGTTTCTCTGCTGCTCTTGCCAGTTTGTTAACAATGCTTCTTGGTGCCTGGGAACACGGATACCAGGATAGACCTGTCTCTGTGCTCTCATGGGTTTTAGCAGGTTCATGCCTCACCCCAGAAGATTATACACCACAGCTCTGCACAGGGACAAAGAACAGGTTTTTATGATAGAAGTGGTGAGGCAGTGGAACAGAGATGAGGTGGGTGCCCCATCCCTGCAGGCACTCGGGTCAGGCTGGGGGTCTTTGAGCACTGATGGAGCTGTGGGTGCCCCTGCTCACTGCAGGGGGTTGGGCTGGGTGGCCTTTAAGTGTCTCTTCCAACTCAAACCATCCTATGACTCTGGTGGTGTGTCTGCAGAAGAGCCACCTGTGGGCTTAGTTGAGGCAATTGCTGCCATCAGTGAGACTGAATGTTGGCAGTCCCTGTCCAAAACTGGTGCTTCAAAGAACTTCTCTTGGTTTGGGACAAATGGTATGTTTGGTCTCAGGGAAACCAGGGTGTATTTACTAACGTGCAATGGGAATGAATGTTAAATGACCAGGGGGATTTAGCTGCTAAAGGAAGAGTGAGAGTGCTGAGCCCATCCTCCAGAGCTCTCCATGGGGCCTCACTGATGTGAGCAAACTGAGCTAGTGGAAGGTATCCCTGCCCATGGCAGGGGATTGGCAATGGAAGACACTTAACCTGCTGAGTGCTTTGTCCTGCTTTATTTCTATCACCCAAATAGTGTCTGCTATTGAGCAGATTTGGTGCAATTTATGCGATGCTGCAAGTGTCCCCTTGCTTGGTAATTACACTGATTAATCTGGATCATGCTGGAAAGCCACATGTGCCTTGTACCGGAGGGTATGCCACCATGTGTCTGTATTGTTCAACTATAACAGATGCTGACAAGAACTGGGGAGATGAAGCGAGCTGGAGGTTGTTCTTGCTGTGTTGGCAGAGTTTGGGAAGGAGAATGTTTGGCAGTTTCTCTGGCTGGAAAGAAGGTGAATTTGTGGATCTTAGGAGATGACAATGAGGTTTTCCATGTTCTGTCTGCAGCACCAGAGGTCCCTCTCTCTTCTGTCTGTGCACCCAGAGAAGGGCTCTGTTCCGTCTCTTAGTGCTGCTCTGTGCATGGCAGACAGCCCCGACTTGTTCCCCACTGGAACGAGCGACCTTGGTGGTGTTCTGGGAAGCCTGAGCTCTTCCCTCCCGTCTTACACGGGGTACTCTGGGCTGTGTCATTACAAGCAGCTCAGTTAAGTCATTACCGCCTTGGTGAATACATGAGCTTTTTCTCTCATCCCAATTCATCACCTCTGCGCTGACATGAATCATTTTCATTATAAAATGCTTCAGACCCCGTTAATTAACAGAATTGCTTAAATTTCAGTGAGATAGCGCTTGCCCAGAAATAACGGCTTTATATTCATAGCAGAGACATGGGAGGCCCATAAACGTGACCAGCTGAGGCCAGCCCTGTGCAGAAGGTTTGGGATGTGCCCTGCCAGGAGCTGTGCTCCGTGCTTCTGACCCGTGTGCTGGCGTGGAGAGTGGGCTTTGGTGAGCAAGCGCCAGGAGGGCTGAGACTTTCTCCTGTGTGTTAGTAGGCAGAAGCTGGAAGTGCCCAAGGAATAGGGGACAAGCCTCCATGGGGCTGAAGATGGTGACAGTTCAAGTAATGATAGAACTGAAATGACAAACTGGAGAGAACTGGGTGAGATTGTGTCTGTCCGTGAGAGCCGGGAAGCTGCAAGCATCTGAAATGGCAGTGATGCCTTTATAATAAATCCCAACAACGATAATTGTTGGAATAATTGCTAGTTTGAGAAAGCAAGGAGAGAGAAACATCTACAGAGCAGCGTTGCCAGCTACTGCTGCACCCGTCATGTCGTGCAGAGGAGGAAAAAAGATCCTTTCTTCCTTTCAGCTCAGTGACATTTGACTGCTATTGTGCCACACCACCAGCAGCTCCTTCTTGTCACCTGTCCACTGCTGCCAGGAGGTCAGGCCCCATAGCTGCAGGCTGCACAGGGCATGGCGGGGCGTCTGCCATTTGGGCTTCGGTAAACCCGAGCAAAGGAGGATGTGCAAGGCTCGCAGTAATGGGAGGTAAAGCCAATAGTTAATCAGAAAAGCCTGGAAGAGAGCAATTACAAAAACAGAAAGCAGTGGCTAAATCTGTGGAATGTTACGAAACTGAGCTGGAGGGGATTTTAAGCTGCTCTGGGCTGCTGCTGGGATAGTGGGGCTGGGAATGCACCACTAATGACCTTGTACTCATGTACACGTGCTTGTGTGCCCCTGGTGCCACCCCAGGGCAGAGTCGGTTCTTTCTTGCTTTCATTCTCAAAATGTTTCTCTGTGCTTTGTTTCCATGTAAATGAAACATCTTGGCTGACATACAAAGTCGTAACTTCTGCTTTCACAATGTTTTTTGGGCTTCCTTACTCTTTCCTTCTTGTTTTGCATTGCTGTATATTTTAGTCCTGGTCATTTCTCCTTGCTCAGATGAATGAAAACCTGAAAAGACTTTTTACACAGTGAAATCTAGAAGGAAAAAAGAAGCACCAACATACCATGCATTTTGTTTGGCTTTGTCTCAAGTGCATTCTCAGCCCCAGGACACTGACAGCTTCCCTGGTCTCCTAACTTAGAGACACATTTTAAAGACACGTTTGAAAATGAGGGGGTCTGTGCACCAATGGGAACACCCACTGGGATGGCAGAGGTCGGGTGAGTGGGCAGCTCTGCCCCACATCCCTCCTGCACTGCTCTGCAGCAGCCAGTCCTCCCATGGCTGCAAGCTGTGCTCATCCTTCTGTGGCTCCTGTCTGAGCAGATAAGGATAAGTGGACTGCTGCAGATTGCTGCCAAAGGGGCTTCGTGACTCAGCAGGGGCTCTTACATAGCATTCCTCCACACGGCGTGCAGCTAGCTCCCACCAACCCTTTACCCTGCTCCTGGCTTCCCTGGAGGAAAACACAGACCTCCTCCAAATTTGGGACTATGAGGGTTAATTAAGTGTTAGAGTGCCTGCTGTATGAGCAGAGGCTGGGAGATCTAGCTGGCCCCCTTTGGAGCTCCAGCTTGCTCTAGGTACCCCCCAGCCAACTCTCTCAGCCTCACCTGTTCTGTGACTCTGCAGATGCTCTGCCATGTGCCTGCACTCACTCCACTGCCCACTTCCAGGTGTGATCCGGACAGCTGTGGCTGACCTGGACCGTGAGACACAGGACCGGTACGAGGTGGTGATCCGTGCCACGGACATGGCGGGACAGCTGGGCGGGCTGTCCGGCTCCACCACCGTCACCATCGTGGTCACTGATGTCAATGACAACCCACCACGCTTCCCACAGAGTAAGTTCTGCTCGTGTTGTTGGACTCCTGGCACAGCCTGGTGTGTGGCTGCAGGCTGAGCCAGCCCTGCTGCTCGGGATGTTTGCGGGGCAGCAGCACAGCACTGCAGAACGCGCAGTGGTGTGCCTGGGTCTGAGTGTGTCCTTGCCCAGCAGCCCCATGGGGGGGACTCCCTCAGCTGAGGATGCTACAGCTGAAGGTGTCTCAGCTCTTTAGTTGCTTCTCCTAGAAATTACAATTGGTGAAGTTGGCCAAGAATTGGACAACACTGCTGTGTTGTGTCTGTGTAGAAAAATCATCCCTTTCTCTACCTGGCTCTTTAAAGCATTAGCTCTCCCCGGTTCCCTTCTTGCAGCCCCTGTTTTTGGCTGGGGTTTGTTTTTCTCAGGACATTCTGAACTACAGACATTGGCAGAGTTTGGACAGTACTTGTGGCCCAAGAGCTGTCCCAAGGAGGTACACAAAGATGTGCATCAGGCTGGGGACGGTGCAGGCAGAGCCGTGACCTTGGTGCTTTTCTCTCCTCTAGAGATGTATCAGTTCAGCATCGTAGAAACTGCCCCTGTAGGCACTGCCATTGGGAGAGTCAAGGCAGAGGACTCTGATGTCGGGGAGAACACCGACATGACCTATCAGATGAAGGATGAGGAAGGGGTGGAGATGTTCAAAGTCACCACAGACAGCAATACCCAGGAGGCTGTCATCACCGTTCAGAAGGTGAGGAGAAAAGCTGGCTGTGGGGAGGGCAGGCATCTCCAGGAGGGCCCTTTCCTTTGTGGGCTTCTACTGCGTCTGAGTTGAAATAAACACTCCTCTGAGCGCAGCTCTAGCAGTAGCATTTCTGTGCCTGCAGATGCAGGAAGAGACCTGTTCTGCCTGGATGGCACAGCACAGACCTGTTTCTGGGAGGGAAAACTAAAAAGGAGCAGCAGTGCAGTGCCTTCTGCTGCCTGCATGGCTCCTGGGAGAGAGCAGTGTACAGATGGAGAGGTGCACAAAGTGATGGAGAGCAGTGCTTACAGCTCTTGCTGATAGCACCTGTTAGGAGCAGAAACATGCCCACTTAATTCCCACACCTGATCAGCAACACCAGGTGTGGCTAATGGGGGTCCTGGGGCAGGATGTGGCTAATGGGGGTACTTGGGCCAGTAGTGACTAATTCTCTCCTATTGTCTCAGCCTCTGGACTACGAGTCAAAAAAAGTGCACACCGTGGTGGTGGAGGCCCTGAACAAGTTTGTGGACCCACGGTTTGTAGACCTGGGCACCTTTCGGGACCAGACCATCGTGCGGGTGTCTGTGCTGGACGTCGATGAGCCTCCTGAGTTCTGGCCCCCCTCCAACACAATGGAGGTCCAGGAGGATGCTCACGTTGGCTCTATCGTGGGGGTGGTCACCGCCCTCGATCCGGACACAGCGAACCATCCTGTGCGGTAAAGCACTGCTCCAACTCTGTATCCCCTTCCCTTTTGGCAGCGGGGGTCACAGTGTGGGGTTCTCACGGCCACCACGTGTGGCAGAGTGGGAGTGGAGAGGTGGTGCAGGTGATGAGTGCTTCATGTGTGTGCTGCAGAGCAGGCAGCGAGCAGCAGTCTGTGCATGGGTATTGGCAAGCTAGAGCCACCATCTCACAGGTGACAGACGTGTCGTGGGCAAGTGACAGGCTTCTGAGTGGCAGGGAGTGCCGGGGAAGGTGTCTGGGTGACGCCTGTGTGTCCTTGTGCTGACAGCCAGGCAGCCGCAGTGGAGCCTGACACGGGCCAGGCGAGCGAGCAGGAGTGACAAGCGGGCAGCGATGGGGAATGATAAATGAGGTGAGGCTTGGGAAGTGCGGAGCCAGAGCTCAGCTGTGTGTGCGCATGCGTGCGTGCAGGGGGATCAAAGATCAGAGGAGTTATATTTGGGCAGGGGACATAATCCAGGCAGCGGCTTATCGGCACAGGACATTTCCCGTTTCCATTTAATTTGTAGCTAAAGAGATTGTTACCTTGTTAAATTGTTATTACCTAAGGCACAAAGCAGCCTTCTGGCTCTGCCAACTGGCCTGAGTCATGAGCAGTCGGGATGAAAAGCTGGTGTTCTGAAAACATCCTCAGCATGTGGAGAATTTCCTTGAAATGTGTGTTCTTGTGCCAGGTGACAGCGGGGCTGCAGGCACCTTCCACACAGCCTCACTTCAAGTGAGCAGCATTGGCTCTGCATTGAGGGCTCTCTACGGAGCCCATCCCTGCCTGCAGTAAACTGGGGCAGAGCCTTGGGATGGCGGGTAGAGACCTCAGTGTGTGCATACACCAGTACCTGTGCTTTGCACTGACACGTTTCCAGCAGTGCTACGGAACGGAGATTCTATTTTGTGATCTGCAGCTGTGGGGAAGGTGTCTTGGGGACAGAAGTCTCCTCCTTATTTACTCTTGTTCTCCGTGCCCTTCCCCATGGAGCTTGTTGCAATATTTGCAGACAGAACAAAAAGAGGCAGAGGAGAGGCTTCCTACTGCTGTGCAGAATGCTGAGGACTTGGAGCAGAGAGGAGCAGATCCAAAGGAACAGCAGGAGGGTTAGAGCCCAAACGTTACCATACAGCAAGCTCGGTGCCAGGTGTGGCAATGCCATGTGCTCAGGGACAGGGCACAGCCAACAGGACTCCAGGCAGGGAATTGCAGTGTGGTTTAATAAAAGGCTTTGCTACGCCTGCAGCTTCAAAGCAGCACCCAAAGATGAAGGCGAGCATCCTGCCAGGGCGTGCCACCAGCCCATCAGTGAGAGACAGCAGCACATCACCTCGCATCTCAAGTGTGCAGCTCAAAGCACAGTCACGAGGAGCCAGCACTTGTACTTCACCTCTGGTACATGAGAGAGCAGCCGGTCCTGACAGCGTGACCAGCATTTGATCCTCAGCCCCTTGAAGTCAGTGTGAAGCCTTTCAAGTTGGTGCAGTTCAGTGGATCCCTTTAAGTTCCTGATCCTTGTCTGCTGGAGGTGGGAGCTGGAATGCGGGCTCGTGAGCTCTGCTCCATCGGCTCTGCCGTGTACAGAGAAGGCCAACACCTTCTGCTGTGCCGAGATGTGCTGTCCCCTCGAGGCAGGAAAGAAGAAGGACCGCCGGAGACAGCCCAGCAAAAATCAGCACCGTCAGCGCTTCAACCCTGCTGACACCGGGCTGCTGGTAACGAGGTTTGGGAAGTATTTTAAGCCAAGTGGGACAGGAGGTGCCCTTGTCTCTCTGCATCCATCCCCAGGTGACACAGAAGGCTGTGCCACATCCCAGCTGCACGAGGATCCCGCTGCAGCTCTCCCTGGGTGCCCACAGAGCACCAACGTCTCTGGGGGAGCAGCCCCCAATTGCAGCTGCGCAGAAGGGCCACAGTGCTGCCAGGTGGATCTGGAGCTCAGCATGGGCTGTGTGTCCTGTGGGGAGCGCAGGGACCCAGCAGGGGCAGCGCTGTGTGAGAGAACGGTGCTCTTTTTTTTTCTTCCATCCTTATTTGTTGCCTGACAAAAGCTAGAAGCACTCTTTTTCAGAAAGCATTCAGTTCCCATTTGCCTTTTTGACGCTAGCTGTGTATTTCCTGAACGTAGCACTGTTTCTCATCCAAACCATTGTATTAGGCAATACGGTGATGTGCTGTGTGTGTGTGAGGCTGTTTGGATGGAAGCCTTTTGTTTTTCTCTCTGCAGTGAGCCTGTGCTCTGATTGCGTGCATCCCAGGCTTTATCAGCACTGGGAAAATGTTGCTTGGGATTTAAGGTTCTCAGAGATATTCTCGTCTGGCATTCAGCAAATCCAGAGGCACGTGTTGGACATGGGCATTTCTCAGAGTCCAGCAGCACAGCGAGAACTGCAACCCGCTTCAATACAAAAGGGAGAGGAGGAAAAAACAAACATAACAAAAAGCTTTTCACCCAGTGGTTGAAAAGCTCGCTATTAACAAAACACATGGCATAAAATGTGCTCCTCGTTGCGTTCAGAGGGAGAAGTGAAACAAACTGCTCGAGAAATGCATTCACGAGAAAGATGAGCACCGAGAAAGCTGTCTAAATTAAACAGTCGCTTGTAACATCCAGACCAACAGGCAGTGCCAGCAGGAGGAGAAGAAAATGGTTTACAAGGTCTGCATCCCAATCAGAGCTGGGCACTGCAGTTCCAGATATGGAGCAGCAGCAGCTGAGCAAGGAATATAGTGGCATCCTCCCCCTGAGCACAGGGAAGACATGGGAATGATGGTGTCCCTCCCTGGGCAGAACATCAGTGGGACAACGAAGGGGAAATGGGACTGCTGGAGGGCAGCACAGACTTTGGTTGATAAAGATCCTACTACGCAATATGGCATCAATTGAGCAGAACTGGATTCCTTCCCACTGGAAGCCCTGGTCTCCGTGGGGGTGGCCATAACTCCTTGGGAAGGGAAGGCCACGTGGAGCAGATGAAGGGCTGTAGGTCCACTTGGACTGGCCACATTCAAATCTCAGCCCCACATCAGTGATGAACACAGGCAGCACCCAGAGCTCTGTCTCCTGACAGCATTGCACTGAGGAGTGCAGCAGCAATGACAAAGGGATCAGATTTTCTGCTCCAGTTTGTGTCCTGCTGTAGGATGTGGGCAGTCAGTCCTTCCCAGCCAGCTCTGAAATGACAGAAGACAAGCTCAGCAGTGAAGCAATCAGAAGCACAAGAAGTGCTTACCGGTGACACGACGGTGCTCCCTGTACCCTCTGGCCGTGCAGGCAGCTGCTGCCAGATGTGATCACGGAACAGGACGTGTTAGGGGTCAGCAGCTGTGGGAGAACAATCGGAGCAATTACACAAATGTATCAGTTGTGCTATTGGAAGGATAGCAGATTTTGTCATCCCGATTTCTGTTCCTCCTTCTAGCACAATGTTGGATCTGCAAGGGTTGCCAGACCCCTCCTGTCCCTTCACAGTGGGTGAGTGTGGAGTGGATGAGAGGCTGCAGTACGTGCCAGTGTCACTGTCCCTTGGCTCTATGTTCATAGATGCTCCATTTCCAGGTTGGAGATGGGGCAGGAAATGCAGGAGGGCTGGGAATTCCCTGGGATGTGGTTTGGTGATGCCTGGGCTTTGTGTGACAGATCCCCGTCACCTCCAAGGGAAGACCGACATGCAGGTGTGGAACGTGATCATTTGTGCACGTGCACCAGTGAGATTTAGACAGCAATTTTCCCTTAACTACAAGCAAATGCTGTTGTACATTCTCACCCCCGTCTGCCTGAGAAGGAGGGAGCTGAGGAATGCAATCTGGTGCTGTGTAACAGTGAGGGCTTGTAGGCACAGAGCCATTGGTGTGCCTTTTGGGTCCCTGAATCAGGTAGGGATGCTCAGCTGTGTGGATGGGTGACCTGGGAGGTGACCTGCCCCCCAGCTGGCTCCCTCCTGGACCTGGATATGGGAGGTAGGAGGCTGTCCATGGCTCTGTGCAGCATGGCCATGCCTGGAGTGCCAGGCACATGGGCTGCACACCATGAGCTGCACACTGTGAGCCACAGGCACTTGGAGCAGCCGCCACGCAGCGTGCCTGTGTCACCCCTGAGCACGCTGCCAGCCTGGGGTTGCCCTGAGCCCTGCCCTGTCTGTCAGCTCTCCAGCTTGCTTTGTCCCTACATTCATCTTCCTCCTGTTGTTGGACATGTGACCGAAGGCTTTAATTTATTCCCAGCTCTCCTCTCGGTAATTTATCCTTTGTGCTCTTTGCTGTCTTGTATTATTTAATTCTGTAAAGCGCTCTGGGATGCAGCGCGTATGAAAGATGCCGTACACAATGGCATTATGCTGCATTGTTGTGATTTGTAGGCCTTCTGGATTTCTAATTCCGATCGCGGCGGCGGCGGTGGTTATTTGTGTTACGGCTGCACCTGATGGCCGTGGTTGGGTTGGGCTTCCCTTCCAGCCCTGCCTCCAAACAGGGCGCCAAGGCTCCCTTTGGCATGTCCCATTTTTCACATTTTCCCCTCTTGCCTGCACCCAGGTACGCCATTGACCGCAGCACGGACACAGAGAGGATCTTTGACATTGATGCCAACACGGGTGCCATTGTGACAGGAAAGGTCCTGGACCGGGAGACAGCGGGATGGCACAACATCACCATCCTGGCAATGGAAGCAGGTGAGCAGAGGAGCAGCCGTCTGGGCTGGACCACAGTTTGATGGTCATTTCCTATGGCCATCTTCCCTATGGCTGTGCCACCATAGGGCCTGCACTTGCAGTAAGCACAGGATCTGCTCACACCAGGCTGGGAGAGGCAGGAGGGAGCTGAGCGGCTGCGAGGGTTTTGTTGGTTGATCTTCCCTCTGTCTGCGTGATCCTGAGGTGATAGAGCCCAGCTTGGATGTTTCCAGCAGAAGTTCTGTTTGCCGTTTCTATTCCGGTAAAGAAAGAAAAGAACAAACCTGGTCCTGCTGCTCAAAGAAGCTTTGAATAAACTCCTCTTGAGGAATGAAAAGAAAATAATAGAAGCAAAGGGAAGGCTTTGATTCCCTGCAGGTGCTGTGCTGAGGGTAGGAAGATGGTGGGGTTGCCCTGGGCATCCTGCTGCCCTGTAATGTTTGCACAGGGCTTTGGTGCAGGGTCTGTGTTGGGTCCCCAAGGACCTTAGGGAACACTCAGATTCTCCGTGTGTTCCTTTTTCTGAGCCTTAAGATGGAGACTGACTTCCATCCAAGGCACTGTGCTGGGAAGCAGAAAGGCATTGCCAGGTTTTGTGCTTTGGCTGTACAACACCTCCCAGTTCCCGCGGACATTTGCCAAAGCCTGCTCACGGGATGAAGCCTTTCCTGGGCACACCCCACAGGGTTCCTGGTTCCCTTTTCTTTGCTCATTCTGAATAGGAAGGTGCCATTCAGATTCAATGTGCCAGGGCTTTGGCTGAGGGCCCAGCAGTTCCTTGTGGCTGCAGAATGGTCATCGTGGCAATGATCCACTCATTTAGGGCTGCCCCAGCAAGGGCAGTCAGTGACCTGGCAGACCCCACTGCCCCGGGCTGGGACCTCTGTGGCTCTGTCACCCCACGGGATGCTCTGTGCCCAGGGGTGGGTGAGCTCTGCACGGCACTGCCCCGCTGCCAGGGGAGGAGAGCTGATGGTGCTCAGCATCCAGAGGAAACGTGAGGTGACAAGAATCAGAAGGAAAATATTTATACGCGGCATCTAAGATTTCAGAGCAAGTCAGTAAATGCTGCAGCTCCCCTCAGGCAGGAGCGCCTGTCAGGCTGCATCGCTTCAAAGCCAGGGAGACTCCAGCGCTTCGACTTCTCCCATCAGCGGGCTCTGACTCATCCATTTTAACTGCCCAGACATTCCTCCCCGTGACATTATCCTTAACGTTTTGTAATCATGAAATATTAATGACTGATATTGAATTTAAAGCACAATTTATGTCTGAATCCTCAGGCAGAAAGGGCAGTTGTAAAGGTAAGGCCTTCAGAGTGACGGGGGGGGGGACTTGGGAGCGGGGCGTCGCAGCAATGCCTGGGGCAGCTGGGGGCCCTGTGCTGGCAGTGTGTGCCCCACAGCTTTGCAGCACTGCCCTGGGGCAGCTGGGGGCTCTGTGCTGGCAGTGTGTGCCCCACAGCTTTGCAGCAGTGCTGTCTGGCGTGTGCTCAGTGGCACACATGTGAATGCACATGCTGAGGCTGGCATGGCACTGCCCAGGGGTGTGTAGCCATTCTCCGCAGCAGGTATTCATCCATAACTGAGGTACAGTGTCGGCTTTGGTGGAGATGTGAGCCTTATAGAGCCATGTGCCCAGCTCTGAATCTGGTTGGGGCTGGAGGGAAGCTGTGCCCTGGTGAGCAGCTGGGGTGCAGTGTCCTGAATCTTGCCTTTCCATCCCTGGCAGCACTGCCCTGCGGGGGTTTAACAAGCAGCAGCTGCTGGGAACGTGCCAGCTGGCAAAATGTGCTCCTGTGGCCAGGCTGGCTGCTTAGATTTGCACAAGACCTAGCAGCAGGTGCTCCTGCTACAGAGACCACATCCAGGGGGGTATGCCCCACCTGTAGATAACTTGAGAGACTGTTTGCATCCGAGGAGCAGTAAGAGAAGCAGCAGAAGGCTCCTGATGTGCCCCTGCAGGCTGCTGCTGAGCGCAGTATTTGGCCTTGCAGCAGTGCAGCCAGCGGGAAACATGGGAACCATTCAGCAAATCTGGGCTGGGACCAGGCCAAGCACTCCCAGAAATAAATCTTCATCTCACTCACAAGCTGTTTACCTTCCTTGGGCTAATATTAGTGATTCTCTTCCTGTTTTCCTCTTTGCTCATGTAAAATGATGAGGCCTTGACTGCTGTGTCCACTGCTGGTAATTGAGATGATAAATCTTCCTGCTGGAGACTGGCTTTAATCAGAGCATTGTGTTTGGATGCGATTTAATGACTCTCATGCTGCTGAGTCTGGGCAGGGCTCAGGAGAGGTGAGAGCCATTTGTATGTTACTTGGCTGCTCTGTTGTTTCCACTTTGCTTCCCTGGAGCTGCGTCGTCAGCCCCAGCTGCTGGTGTTGGCCCTGTGTCTGAGGAGCTGTGCCCCAGCCAAGCCCCTGCAGTGTCCCTGCTATCTGTGCTCTGTTCCACAGTCCGCAGCTCTGCTGATAGCTGTAGAGCTGCCCTGTGCTTCACAGCTGGAAAGCAGCGGTCCGTCCCAGTCTGCATTTTATTCTCCCAATTTGCTGAGACGGTGAGGATTAAAATTCCACTCCTGGCACTTCTGACTTCTCCACCGATGTAAAAATTCTGAATTCAGTATTGTACCAATTCGGTCTTGATGTGGAAGAGAGCGGCTTGTGTGCTGTGCCCAGTGCAGAGGAGTGCTGCAGCCACAATCGCAGCCCGTGGGGCTTTCCTGGAGCTGGGCTTTGGGCTCCAGGAATGCTGCAGAGCAGCTTTCTGTCTGTGATGTGGCCACACAGCAGGGCAGTGCAAATGGTACAGCTGCTTCAGCACAGCTGGGTTTGGGTTTGCACAACAGAGGTTTGGTTGTGAAAGTCCAAAGCACTTCATCGTGAATTTGCATGAGGGTCTGAAGAGGCACCAGCTGGATCCCAGCACAGTGCAACTGTCACTGCCCTCCTTTCCTGCTGCAGAGGGGATGGTCGAGCATCTCCACAGCCTCTTCCCATCATTGCTATCTTCATCCACACAGCTCCCAGTGCTTGTGGAGCAGTGGGGCATCCTGCTGGCAGCTGTCTGGGAGCCTCTGCCTAGGGCAGAGCCCGGGTCCCTTGCATGATTGCACTCCTGGCTAACTGAATTAAAGAAGCCACTTGGGGCTGTAAGTTCAGCCAGGGCATTGGTCTCAGCCTCGGTGTGACTGTGCAGTGGAGCCCTTGGATGACACCCAGCCCAGGGAGTGCTCTCATGGCAGCACAGGGAGCGGAGCTGTTGGGGAGGTGCTGCAGCATGGAGCTGCATGGCACAGCTCGTGATGCAGCATCTCCCACACCATCAGGCCTAGGTTGGCAGAGGCAGCTGCCAGCCATTCACCCGCTGCGTTCCCAGCATCTCCCCTGTGTTCCGCGTGTTTTCCATGTCTCTTTCCTCAGTCTTTTCAGATTAATAGCATTCCAACTCCTGGAGGAAATGCAGGAACCCGACATGTTTAATTTTAATTTAGGGAACCGTTTAGGTAGCAGCCTGGTTTCCTCGCTGCTGTCAATCAGGTTTTCTCAAGGCTGACATCAATTAGTTTAAAAATATTGAATGTAATTTTGCCTGACACAACATATTGCAGCCACTGCAAAATATAATTTATTTTAGAAGAAGAAATAATTAAACTAATTTGCATGTCAGTCAGCTGAGCTGGGAGAGACATTGCCACGGAAAATGACTTTTTTCCTCCGCGGTCGCGCTCAGTCCCTCCGCGGCACACAGTGCCCTGTTGTGCTCTGCCTGGTGGTGGTGAAGAGAGCATTCATGTGAGGGGTGGGAGCGTTTCTGTGCACGTGGAGGTGCTGCACAGTTGTGCTTTGGGGATGCAGCAGTGATGCTGGCAGTACTGCGGCGTGCTGTGCGCCTTCCATCACCGCCACGCGCTCCTCATCGCGCTTCTGACCGTCATAAATCCACTTAACGCTCCGCCAGCCGCAGGAAGGCTGTTTCAAAGATGGTTTGGAGATAGTTTTATCAAACTCATCCAAATATTTTTCGTATGTTACGCCTGTAAATTCAGGTGCTGGCTGAAAGGAAGGGGAGGTTTATAAGGAAAGCGACTGAGGAGCCTTCACATAGATCATGGGACCGCTGGAATACAGAGGAGCGGATTGCGCTGCTGAGCTCGGTACTCCTGGAGATGGCTGCATCAAAGGGGGTCTGGGAGCACTTGGCTGTGCTGGGATCTGCTCCTGCACTGGGGGAATGTGATTGGGAAGGGGAGGAGGGGGACCTGGGCTGCTCCTTCTGCGCTCTGCCTCCTCTTTTCTCTTTCTGTCTCCTCTCCTTCTCTCAGCGGGGCAGTGCCAGATTCCTTGCACCATAGCACTGAAGTAAGGATCTCCATCTTCCTACAGTGAGCTGAGGATGGTGAAGCAGTGCTGTCACCCTTCTCCTTGCAGGAGCTGAACTGATTTCCCCTCAGATTCTTTGCAGCCCCAGTGGGTACAGAGCACTGCCCCCGGGTCCCCACTCCCTCCTGCTCCACTGCCTCCCACTGTCTCTCCCCCTGGAAGTGATGGCAGTTTGTTTCATTGCACCAACATGCTTTTTAAAATAACACGGTGTTCCAGGCTTTTAGTCACGACTTCTGCCTCCCTCCCCCAAAAGCAACCATCTAATCACCAGAGCAGCTGCTCTGGGTGAGAGGTAGTGATAATGCACGGGTGAGGTGAAGGCAGCTCCAGGAGGGGGCTCAGGTTCCTGGCTAATTATGGAGCAGTGTTAAATCTCCCCTCCCTTGGCTCCTCCTCTACTGATACGTGGGGGACAGTATTAATTTTGTAGACAAACAGACAGCAGAGCTCCTGCCTGTGAGAGGAGAGGCACTGAGTCTGTCTGAGCTGTAACCTCTGGGTGGAACAAAGGAGATGGAGAGTGAGGAATTCCTCATTCCTGGAAGCATGTGAAGAGCTTCAGGAAACATCAGGCCCTCCACAGTGATTTGCTGGTAGAGAGGGCACCCTGGGGCACATGCTGTGATCAGAGCTGTGCGTGTGGCTCCAGGCTCTGCGCGTGTGCCCCACAGCAGCTGCGGTACCCACAGCTCTGACCTGACCGTGGGGCCTTGCTCCCAGCTGGGCAGAATGGGCTAACAGCAGATTGCTGGGAGTCCTGGGCACACAGCCCAGCCGTTGGGCTCACTTACTGGGAGACATGGGCAGTGAGGCCAAGCGGTGCTCTGCAGGAGCAGCCGACCTGCAGAGGTCACCCAGCATGACCTCAGCACTGGCAGCAGCTGCCTGACCCACCACAGCCATAGGCAGATGGGATGAGGAGGGCTTGCTCCCTATCAGCAGCAGATGGCACCTCCTACTGCAGCTTTGGTTCTCCTTTGTTTCAGATAATCATTCGCAGGTGTCGAGAGCCTCTCTGCGCATCCGCATCCTGGATGTGAATGACAACCCTCCCGAGCTCGCCACCCCCTATGAGGCTGCGGTGTGTGAGGACGCCAAGCCAGGCCAGGTAGTGAGCAGCCCCCGGCCCTTCTCCCAGGGCTCTGCCAGCTCTGTGCCACCAGCAGTGCATGCAGGGCAGGGGCTGGTTTGGTCCCTGTGGTGCTCTACTGTTTCACACCCTCAAACGTGACCCCATTGAGGCTGTGGGGTGGCTCTGGTGCTCACCTCTGCTCTCTCCCCACAGCTGATCCAGACAATCAGCGTTGTGGACCGTGATGAGCCTCAGGGTGGTCATCGTTTCTACTTCACGCTGGCACCTGAAGCCACCAACAACCACCACTTTTCTCTGCTGGATGTTAAGGGTAAGCCCTGCTGGTGGATGTGAGGGGCTGTGGCTGTGCTGGGTGCAGCTCAGGAGCCCATAGGTATCCCTACAGCTCCTGGTTCTGAGATAGGCCCATTGAGTGCATTTTCTTATAGTGGGTCCATCAGATTCCTCCTTTGTTGCAGAGCGCAGTCTGCTTAGCTCACTGTGTTTTCAGGGCTTGTGGTCCCTTCTTTGGTGTGAAATCTCCAACCTGCCTGCAGGCAAGGAGATGAACATGTGCCTGTTTGCAGCATTACCATTCATCCCTCTGCAAAGCATGCCCTAGAGTGTGGGTCAGCCCCAGACTGCCATGAGGGTAACTGGGCAGCGCCCTGCGGATGGGCAGTGGCCATGGGAGCAGCCCCAGGGATGCTGGAGGGAGCAGCAGTCAGGCTGTGTTTGTGTGGGTGGTGGCAGTCCTGGAGGGCAGTTATCATGCTGTTCCCTGTCTTTAGTGGGTGTTCTTGGTGAGTTTAGGTGCTGATTTCAGGTAAGGACAGCAAGGCCCCTTGCAGCTAGTGGGGTCTTCTCCAGCCAGATGTGTGTTTGCCACAGGGACCAACCCAGGTGGGGGCCAGCAGACTGTGCAGCAAGGCTTTCTCCCTGTTTGGCGTTATTAGGGTTGTTCAAACAGAGCTTGCAGCAGAACTTCCAACAAAATTGTGGGAGAACCGATATCGTTCTGTGTCCTGAAAAGCACAGCTGTCTCTGACCCACGACCCCCCCTGCACTCATAGGGCAGCTGGTCACCAGACTTTTGCTTCTTAGCATGTAAGCAAGCTTTAATCCTCCATAAGATTTTGCCCCACGCCCAGCGATTAACTTCCTTCCCTGACCTCAGGAAAACATATGGGAGCTCTGTTCCATGCTGGTCCATCCCTTCCTGCACCCTAATGTCAGCTCTGGGGCTGCAGTGCCTGCTCTGAACCGGGCTGTGCTGGACCCAGGCTGGGGTGCTGCTGGGATCGCTGCTGGAGGGTCCTGGGACTCGGCAGGGGCTGCTCCACTGCCAGCAGCATTGGGGTCAGCCCTGCTCGTGCAGTGGGGCTCATGGGCAGGGACCCCAGAGCCAGTGCTGCAGGGCAGAGCTGCAGGAGGGCCCAGGATGTGCCCCCCCCCCCCCCGAGCTGCTGCTCTCATGAGTGGGACGACGCGCTCATCACGCGGGGTAATCCTCCGTGCTAAATGATCCCACAAACCTGCATGTGGTGCAACACTGCATAAAATGAGTAAAAGCTGGCGTCACCTCCCGCCTTCTGCTCTCGGTAAACAAATGCTGTTGCTGCAGGGTTATTCCCAGGGTGTTTGGAGACCCTCCCAGTTGCCAAGCGGTGCTTTCTGCCACAGCAGGAGGCGGTGGCTGCCTGTGCAGATGGAGGCATTCCTCACTTCTGCTGTGTGTGTGCTTTGCTGTCATCTCCCTTTGGTTTCCCCCTGCCCTGACTCCTCCGATCCATAGCAAGCCCTGGTTGTGCCCCTCCTCTCCCCGGTTCCCCCACTGCTCTCTGCATTGCCCCCCACCCTTGCCTCGCCCCTCTTCCACTTATCTCTCCTCCTCCATATAAATATCAGTGGTGACAAACTGCTACCACCAGCCCATCTGTTTCTTTGTACAAATTTGTAGCCAGTTTTGAAACGTGATTTATAAATATTGCTTTTGCAGCCAAAGAGTGACACTGATGGATGTCAGCACAGATGGATCCGCTAAGCTCTCGCTTAAATCCTTCTCATTTTTTGCTTTGCACCTTCTTCCCTCGGCTCCCACCAGGCAGCAGAAAGCCGTCTCGGGAGGGTGGTGTCCCCAGGGACCAGCATCCCCTTGGGAACACTCTTGTTGCAATCCGTTCTGCAAAGTGCCTGCAGTTACTGCCTGCAGCCCCGCTCATCAGTGCCTGGTGGCACGCATTGCTGCCTGCACTGCCAAGAGCTGCCTTGGTGCCAGGTCAGGGATGTAAGAGCGAAAGGTGACCCTGCAGGACGTTCTGCATTAGCTGAATTACCGCTGGAGCCGCATGGAGGACTCAGGCTTTTAGAAACAGTGCTGTTTCCTATTGGCATCTCTCGCTTTCTGCTCTCGACCTGTCCAAGTGAGTGCTCGAGCACTTGCTAATTCGTTAGATGTGAATGAAAAGTCGTTTGTGATAGCTGTGAGCCCAATCTGGAATGCAGATGCTTTAGCAAATAAAGTGTCCAAAAGGGGAGATAGTGCTGGGGAAGCTGGCCTTGCCCAGGTTCAACCGGTGCCTTTCCAAAGCCATTCACCATGCTGTGACTCCTAACTCACCTTTTGCTGGGCCTTTCTAGCCATAGAATATTGATTACAAAAGGATTAAAGGCAATTAAATACTGAAATCATGTTCTCCAAGAAATGCTAATTGTGTTGGAAGAGACAGTAGAGAGCATCTAAGCCCAGCAACCTGGAAGGGTGGTAGATAATATGGAGCGACACATGGAGCTATTGACTCCGGAGCTCAAGGGCTAGGCAAGCAGATGTCAGAACTCTCTGCAGGTCTCATTAAGAGCTTGTAATGGCTGATAGAAGATCTAAAAATCATTGCAATCAAAAGCAAAATGTTAGGATTTGGGGATTGCCTCAGGATAGACAAAGCCTCCTCCAGCCCTGTAGGGATGCCTCTCTCAGCATGAGCAGCGCAGATGCTGATCGGATTTGGGGTGAAAAAGAGCATCAAACCTCTGCGAGGGCTGAGCCAAAGGCAAGGGAGCAGCAGTGGTGCTGTGGCCTGGCATTCAGAGAACTGGAGAGCAGAAACAGGCAAAGGGGAAAAAGGGATTCTTCTCATAGCAGCTGCACCCTCTGGGACTGGAAGGGGTCCCAGCAGGGACTCTGCATCCCCTGGGAATGGGACACGGAGGCTGCAGAGCAGAAGCAGAGAAGGGAAAGGTGGGCACCCACTGAGATGTGGGAGAGGGCACAGATAGCAGCACCCAGGTCAGAGGTGGTCACTGTCTTCTGCTGTGCTGGTGCTGATCAAGATTGAGTTATGAGAAGGATTTATTAGCTCTGTCTTTGAAGCTGCCAAGAGCCTCTTTGGAGAGGGAGTCTGAGAGACATAATTATTTCATTATTCCTAGTCGTGTTATGCTCCCGCCAGTGTATATTACATTCCTCTCCGTGCACTGACTGGTCCCTGTGCTCTGCTCACGTTGGTTTCTGCCTTTTTTGATTGCTCCTCTAGCAGGTAGAGGTGCTGCTTCCTGACCATTGCATCAGGTGATACCGTGTGGCATGGAGTAAAATCTCTGCGTGTTCCTGGACCCTGCGCTGCCTTTCTCCTGTCAGCAGCTGTTGTGCAAGGAACAGGGATCCAGAAGGTGCTGGGAGGGGCATGAGGGTGACAGCAGGTGGAGGAGTTGGATGCAGGCACTGCTGGGGCTTCACGGGGGTCTGCCCATGGTGAGCAACATCCCTGGTGTGAACATGCAATTTCTATGGCTCTTCCTCCAGTAGGACGTGCTCACGTCTCCCCATGAGAAAAGAAAAATGTTGCTTTGTGATGACTGAAATAGTTTGGTGCTTGTAGTTTTTTTGTCTCTCCCATGCACCATTTTGAGTTGCACAGCCCCTTCCTGAGCAGAGGTTTCTCACACGGAGCTGGCTGCTCTGCTGCTTTATTTTTACTTTGTGGGTTCAGCAGTGAGGATATTTCTCCCTCCCGCACTGGGCGGTGCGGAGCTCGGTGGTGCAGCGCTGTCAGAGCGAGCTGAGGGTGGCAGCTGCCTCTGCAACTTGCATGTCTATTTCCCCTTCGTTGCCACAGACCATTTCTAAGCACACAGCATGCAGTGCTGCGCGGCAGGCCCTGCTCTCAGCAGGCTGCAGACTGAAGGGGATTCCTCGGCCCCCCGCTATGAGATTTGGAGATGCACGCTGGGGCTGCTCCCTCGGTCCCATGGGGTGGATATGGTGCAGGGGACTGGTGGGCCAGATCTGGGAGTGGTGCCTTGTCTGAGCTGCCGTGACCACATCTCCACCATCTGTGGGTGCCCAGTGCTTGCAATCAGCATGGACAGCTGGGAGCTGGTCCTGGCCTCTCGCTGAGATAGCACCATTAATGTTATTTATATCTCCCTGCTACGCTGCAGCAAGCTGAGGGAGCGGCACCGAATGAGATCGTGTTACCTTTGTGCAAACGATTAGCATAACAATTCAATTTTTCCCAGCTTAGCCTTGGTAGGGAATAGGAATCTGCTCTGCTCCTCCCTCCCACTCATTTCTGCACTGGGCTGTGCTGTGCCTGGAGTCACAGCTGTGCTGCAGCCCGAGGGCAGGGACCCCAGACAGCCTGCGGGCATAGAAGCAGCACACTCCTCTGCAGGCAGTCCCCTGGCCTGTGCAGGCTGCCCACACTGCAGCACTTGGATCTTTTCTGGTTTGGGAAGCGTGAGCCAGCGCTGCGTGCTGCAGCCCTGCAATATCTGAGTGCAATATCACCTTATTGCTGCCTTGTGATCTGGGCTCTGGGGTGGTTGCCTTTCTGAAACGTGCTTTGTGGGCAGGGAGGAATGAGGTTACCTGGAAAATTCCGTTGGTGGATGAAAGGTGCTACATCCAAAGGAAGAATTCTGCTAGTGAAAACCACAGCACAGCTCTGCATGGAGGGACAAGGTTTGGTTTTGAATCCTGGCTGTGTGCCATTCAGTGCAGCTCTGAACGTTGGTTGGTGTGGTCCTCTGCCCAGCGTCCACGCCTCTCCCCAGCTGGAAAGCGAGCTGAGCTCTTCAGGGCAGACCTGCATTCTCACGTGAACTGGAAGAGAAATGATGTTTTCCTGCCTCCTTTATGCCCATATCCCAGCCATCCCCAGCAACACAGCCATGCCAGCTGAGCTCCATGCTATGCTCTGCCCTGGCTGCAGCGCGGTGCCCTGTGACCTGCCCGCATCCTGCCCGCCCCGCTGCCCTACGTGTGGCTCCTGTCCCTCTGTGCCCCGGTGCTCCCAGGCTGCACCGATCCATACAGCAATTTCCGTGGTGGCAGTCGGCCCAAGAGCCACGATTAAAATAGATGTCTTTTCCGATAGAATTGCTGATTGATACAGAAAGGGGCCAGTCCAACATAAATCAGGAGCAATGAGGAGAGAGGCTGCAGACAGCAGCACCTTGCTGCAAACAGGCCGATCTACGTTTTATTAGATAAAGTCTGCAGACAGTCGGCAGCACCTTCTGACATCTGGCCGCAATTGTTCAGCCACTGTTCAGTCCTTTGCTGTCCATCTGGTTCTTCTGCTGGCCGGCTGTGAGTGGCACACACACAGGTGAGCAGGGAGCAGAGCTGATCCCAGGCCCTTCTCCTATCCTCCATGCTCTGGGTGGTGCATGGCTGCCCAGGCTCACCCCTGGCCCCGGAGCCCTGGTGTGTCACACAGTGGCTGTGTTATGGTACTGAGTGGTGCTGCTGAGCCCTTGAAGCAGCCACATTTGAACAGATGGAGCTGCTGGCTCAGAGGAGCTCAGCCTGCTCCTGCACAAGTTAAAAAGGACCCAGAGAGTGCTGGGCTGGGCTCCTCCCCTCTGCCTCTTGGGCCTGGGGACGATTAGAGGTGCACAGCCCCTGCTTGGCTGAGCTGTGAGCACTGGAGTTGGTGTCTGGACAATAATTTGTGCCTCTCTGCACCCCGAGGTTTCATCCTATGAGCAGAGCAGCTCATACTGACCCTGCTGTTTCTATGATGGAAATGACTTTGCTGTGGCTTTACTTCTTCCCTGCAGACAACACAGCTGCGGTGCACACGCAGAGAGTGGGCTTCAATCGCCAGGAGCAGGACGTGTACCTGCTGCCCATTTTGGTGGTGGACAGCGGCCCCCCGGCCCTCAGCAGCACAGGAACGCTGACCATCCGGGTCTGTGGCTGTGACAGCACCGGGGCCATCCAGTCCTGCAACAGCACTGCCTACGCCATGTCAGCAACGCTGAGCCCCGGCGCCCTCATCGCACTGCTGGTGTGCATCCTCATCCTGGTCGGTGAGTGCTGCCCAGGATGCTGCATCGGCTCTGGCACTGCGTGTGCTGGAGCACCGGGGCACAGTGTGGAGAAGCAGAGCAGTGTGGACTTGTCTGTGTGTGGGAATGCGATGGGGATGGAGAGATGATGCTGCAGTGCCCTCCGGTTCAGCGCAGGGCAGCTGGAAAGCTGAGAGCTCTTCAGCAGTGGGGCTGGCCTGCAGCTGGCTGCTGAGGGCTGCCAGGACTCAGGGGAGTCCCCTCTCCTTGGCATGGCATGGATCCCCATCTCCTGTCACATCTCCATTTAGAAAACCCTTTCTCATAAGGGGCACTTTACACTGGTTTCATTTTCCAGTGCAGTGCAAACAAATTTCTGCCTAATTGCCCAAAAGAATAAAGTGCACGTCGGTGCTTAAAAGGTGATGGGCTGAATGGATGATGATCCAGGACACATCTGTGGCTTGCTGCTCATGCTCCATGCCATCTGCTCCACAATTGCCCTCACAACATTTGGCTGCCGCCGTGATTCATCCCCCCCTTTTCCAATGCATCTTCCCCAGACTCCATCCGTTTGTCTGTCCAGCCGTGTGCTCATCCATCTGTCCCTCCCGTCTCAGTGGCTGTGCAGCATGTAAGAGGGATCTCCCGATCTGCACTGAGCCAGCACTTCTCACAGGTGCTGATGTGGCACAACTGTTGCCCTCCGGCTGGTGGGAGCCGCCGGGGCTGTGCTCTGTGCTGCCGGTGCGCCCTGTGCCAGAGGGGTTCTGCCTTTGTGCCCTGGTGCAGGTTGAGCGTGCTGCTGCTGCACAGCACGTTGCCTGTTCCGACAGTCTCTGTGCTTCCTCCCCCAGTGCTGGTGCTTCTGATCCTCACGCTGAAGCGACACCACAAGAGCCACCTGACATCCGAGGACGACGAGGACATGAGGGACAATGTCATCAAATACAACGACGAAGGAGGGGGCGAGCAGGACACGGAGGCTTACGACATGTCCGCCCTGCGCAGCCTCTACGACTTCAGTGAGATCAAAGGCGGGGACGGGGGCGGGGGGCCGGGAGAGGGAGGAAACCCGGCCTCTGAGCGCCATGCCCTCCCGCAGTGGGTGCAGAGCCCGGACCTGGACTTCTCCGTGTTCAGAGACTACATCTGCAGGAAGGTGGAGCAGGCGGACGAGGACCTCTCCGTGCCGCCCTATGACTCGTTCCAGACCTACGCCTTCGAGGGCTCCGACTCTCCGGTTCCCTCGCTCAGCTCCATCAACACGTGGTCCAGCGGCTCGGAGCAGGACTTCTCCTACCTGGGGGGCTGGGGGCCGCGGTTCCGGCAGTTGGCAGCGCTCTACGCGGGGCGCCGGGGCGAGGAGGACAGCGAGGAGTCCTAACGGCACCGCCGGACCCGCCGGGGGCAGTGGGTCGGGGGGCTGCGGCGGTGCCGGAGGGGCTGTGCCCTGGGATCGGGGGTCGGTGTGGGCGCTCCTTCGCGGTGCTCCCAGTCGGAGCTGTGCCACAACAACCGCGCCGGGCGCCCGCGGGAGCGCTGTGACCGTCATAATCTCCTTAATGCTGATCTCCGTTAAAGCACTGCACATTAATTTAAGAAAGGGAAAAAAATCTAATTCGAGAGCATTTGGAGGGGGGTTGTCCCCCACAAATTGTCATTTAAATAGATCCGTTCAGTGAGGCCCATTCAAGAGGAGAAGAGCAAACCGGGAGCCTTTTGTTGTTTAAATTGTTTTTGTCACTTGAGTCTCAGAGCATTTGGAGCGCTTTGATTCCTTTAAGAGCTTTCCTTGCAGAGGGAAACAAGCTTTTAATTCTGTTCTGCTTTTTTTTCGCTTACGTTTGCTCACTTTTTGGTGTCCTCTCTGTGCGCAGGGGATGCTCACGCTGTGGCTCCGCGGGCTCATCCTGCGCAGAGCGACTGCTGCTCGGCAGCTCACTCCAAAGCGCACTTCTCTGCTGAGCTGCAATCGCTTCTTCTCTCAGCTCTTACACCTTTCCTGTGGTTAACCGAATGGCGGTGACTGGATTGAGTCTCTCCTGCCTTCCTGTGCTGTAGGCACTGGCTGCAACATCCCGTTGTGTCCCGTGGCCCCGTGGTGACAGATGGGGACGCCCTACTGCTGTGGGGGCACGGTGCCGTCCCAGCGGCGGTGCCCTGTGAGCGACCCGCGTGGGCCCCTGCAGCACAGCTGCTTTGCAGGAACCCTCTGGTTCTGCCAGGTGCACTGGGAGGAGGCAGGAGGGATGTGTCGTTGTTCTCAGCTGCAGATGATGCTGGAGGAAAGCGCGGTCTGTGGCTCCTTATCTGTCCGTGTTGAAAACAATCAATGATACAGATAGGTAACTGATAAGGTCTACCAAGGTCTGACACATCTTGGGCTTGTCATTGGGTTTGTCCTTTTTGTTTAGCCACAGGCAGTGTTTTCTATCCTTGGAGAGGGTTTGAACGTAAATGTAGATGCGTGTTTGTTTTATGCTGTTTTGCTTCCCGGCCATTGGTGTCAGTCCTCTGGCCTCAGCATGACTCCCAGCAGTGGAGAGGTGCAGGGATGCCCTGCCCCACAGCCCCCATCTGCACTGCTCCTCCTGTGGCCGCTGCACTCAGCTTCCTGCAGGGCTGGGAACTGCTCACTGCTCAGGGTCTCCGGTCCCTGTGAAGGAGGCTGCAGGCAGCCGCACTCGGCGTGCCGCTGGTTCACTGTGATGATGCTGGAGAGGTAGCAGGGCTGATGGGAAGTGATGCCCTGATTCCCGGAGCGGGAGTATGGAGAAAGCCCTCTTTTTCCTCAGGAATGTGTACTTGTTTTCCTTCTGGGCTAAAGAGCTGTGTCCAAACCTCTCCGGAGCCGGCCTTTCCTTTAGCAAAAGTGTTGTGCAATAGTAGGACTCTGTCTGTAGGAGATGGGGTCTGACAGGGTACGTGTTTAGCCACTTCCCCTTGGGTTTCCCCCCATCCTCAACCAGCCTGTCCTCCCACACGCATGCACGCACGCTTGCGTCTTCATTTCCATCCCCCATGTAAATACACGGGGAGAGCAGGGCCCAGCAAAGCACTGCTCCGCTGCACTGCCCGCGCTCGGCCCTCCGGTGACTGCAGGAGGAGCTGTAGCTGCCACAGTTCTCTATCCAAACTAAATTAGGAGGTTGATTTTCTCACCCTTGTTATTTTTTTCAAGGTCTTTCATGGACCTGGAAATAAATTATTTCCTTGTCATCTAGCCTGAGTCTTATTTCCTTCTTTGCCTGGTTCTGTTTCCTGGTACCGAGCTTCCAACATGGTCCCTGATCGTGTGCCCAGAGGGCCAAGGGCAGGCTCTGCTTATCCACCTCTTCCTGTTTTTCAAAGAAATGCTCATCATAAAAAGCATCTTCATGGGAAAGGTCTATCTTTCTAGCTGAATTGGAAGGAAATGTTGAAAAACCAAAACACACTTGGCTTTCTCCATCTTTTGGATAGGAGAACGCCACTCTGCTCCCACCAGGACTCAGCCGGGACCCACCCTGCACCATCCCCGAAGCAAACTGCATGCCAGACGACAGAAGAAAACCTGATGGAGCATCCTCACCTCATCCTTCCTTAGCCAACAGCGTTCCCGAATGCTCCTGACAGCAGCGACCCTCAGCGCTGCTCTGCCGCGCGGCCCGGCGCCCCGGCGCTGTCCACGCGCAGGTGCTGAACGCGTTCTTCCCGTCGTCACCGGCACCGGGCCTCGATTGCGAGCAGGTTCTGTCACCGTGATCCATATTCGTGTGTATCGCTGCAGCATCCCGTTATCAGCTGCAGAAAAAAAAAAAAAAAAAGAGAAAAAAAGAAAAAAAAATTCTCCTTCAAACCCAGTTTTAATACTGAAGTGATGTAAATAAACGACGCTGGATCCTGACTGCGGACAAAACAATTGCTGGTGGTTTTCTTGATGGCAAGAGACTGGAAAATGAGCAATGTGACATTTTTCAACGATGTGAGATGCCCTGGCCCAGAGTGCTGCCAGGTTCTGGGTGCAGGGGAATGCACAGCTTGGTGGTGGCATCAGTGTAGGTCAGTAGATAACATGGGGAGAAAGTGAAGCTCTCCATAAAGCAGCAGTCATTTAAGTAGCATCTTGCGGCCTTGCTTTGGAAGACGCTGTTGATCCCCAAGGTCTTGAAGTGTTCCATATCCACGGCCATCCCTGTGCCTCCGCTCCCATCCCGCTCCCCTGAGCATTCACTTCATAGCAAGCAAGAGACGTTGGTGGCCTTTGATGGCAGCTTTCAGTGAGATGCTGTACCAGAAGGGAGCATGGATGCTCAGACAGGGAAGGTGCGCTGCCCACTCCTGGTGTTCAGCTGTTTCTCTTTTCAGAGTTGCTGTGGGTGCTTTGGTTGCTGCCAACATTGAGGAGGCCTTTTTGCAAACATCACCGTTAATTGCCCACACGCAGCAAGTGTGTCAGCACTGCACTCCCAGCTGTGTGCTTCACAGCTTTGGACACATTGGCACCAATGGCTGTTTGCAGAGAGCTATTGACAGTTGCTGTGCATTTGCTTGTGTTTCCAGCCCAGAGCTTTCCTGTTCAGCTGCAACAAGAGGAAACAGAGTCCCTGAGTCCTGCTGCCCACCAGGCACCTGGACAAGCATTGTAGTTATTGTGGAACATCCTGGGGGCTGGGGGCCTGGGCTGTCCCAACAGCTCCCACTGACAAAGGGAGCAGCCTGCAGTTGGTGTGCTCCCAACCAATGAGTGCCCAATATTGAGTGTGTTGGGTCTGGGCCATGTAGGAGGATTTGTGTCCTGATACTGTGGGGGAATGGAGAGAACTCATAGCAACGTGTTGACAGCCAGAACCAGACCCTTCACTACAAGAGGATTATTGAGAGCGCTGATTGCAGAAGCACCTATGAAGATGTTTTGAGAGCTCCATGCAATGCCCTCTCAGCACAGCTCCTTATGAAGAAATGTTTCTATAGGCATTCCTCTTTCCATAGGCACTCCTCTTTCTTCAGCAGTTGCATGGCTGCTCTGTGGTGCTGCTGTGTCTGCTGCTTTTGCCAAAGCAGTAGCTCTGCTGCTGGGGATGGCAGCATTTGCCACAGGTTTGTTCTGAGCGTGTCCTGCAAAGTTTGTGCCCCTGTGCTCGCGCACCACAGTGGCACTGGGCACTGTGTCTCCTGGCAGTGCTGAGCAATGTTATTTTAGCATCTTTTCTCCAGCAGGAGAGGTGGTAGAGCCTCCTCTGGGAGGAGGCAAAAGATAGATGTGATCTGCTGGGATTGTTTAGGGGAAATGAGAAAGACAGTGATATCTGTACCCCCAGGAGAAAAATACATCGCTTGTACCCAAGAGCAAGCAAGGCCTCAAAGCCTCTGCCTCCCTCTTGCCTGGGTAATTAGCTGCTTTTGAAAGTGATTGGCTTTCCCTAAAATCCTCCAAGTAGCTGCTCCATCACCAGCAAGTGGCTGCTTTGACCGCTTCTGCCACAGCTGATAGCATGGCTCCCCACACCCTGCTGGTTACCAAGCCCTCAGCTTCCTCTAGGGCAGGTATCAGATTCTCACTGCTCTGAATAATCTCAGTTTGGGATCTCTGCACTTCCTGCTCGGTGCAGACAGCAGCTGTGCTTTGTTTGGGGTTTCTCCTTGCAGCAGAGAGCTGAAAGGCTGCAGCTGGATAAAAAGCTGTGCTCGCTGCAAGCACCTGCTCTGCAATGTGAGCACTGCCCCTGAGGGGCCCTGCTGGGCTCTCTGCTCACCCCAACAGCTGCAAAGGTGTCCCGAGCTGCCCAAACCCCCAGCACTGCATTGGAGGGAAGCCCAGGTCTGGGATGAGCCTGGTGATTCTCTTCCAGGGCAATGTGGGTTCAGTGACAATCCTTCCAGTTCTCAGGGAAAGACTTTCAGCTTTGCAGAGTGGGATCCCACACAGCTGAGCAGGATCTGTTGCCATCGGGAGATGCAGCCATTGTACCAATACAGCGAAGCAGAAAGAAAGAGGGCTCACTGCCCCAGCTGCAGGATGGCTCTTATGTTGTGAATGGGCAGTAAGGAGGGGCAAAGCAGCAGCAGCAGAAGCTGAGTCCCCAGCATTTGCTCCTCTGTTTTGTGCTGCTCGGCGCACTGCCACCGCCTCTCTGCTGCTGCCTCTGCCAGTTGGTGGTGGTGGGATGCCAAGCACTTGTTCTTAGACATCCTTCATCTCTTGCCAGGGACAGCGAGTGTTTGCAGCACAGGGCTGTAGCCACACCGTGCTGCTGTGGACGTTTTCCATCTGTCTGTGTTGCTGCCATAGAGGGGCTGCTCAGGTGATCCCGAGTTTTGTCTGCCAATGACACCGTGCAGGATGCATCCCCGCAGTGACTGATTTAACCATGGTGATGGGAGAGGTTTTAATCCCTCCTCTGC